ATTTGGTGCGGGGTGGGGGGAGAGGGAAGAGAAAGAGACGCTTGCCGCCCAACGTGAATGGAAGAGAATCGAACCCAGAGAGTGCCGTGACACACTTGCCATTTGGCAGGAGGCAAGGAAGGGCGAGGGCACCGCGTCTTTCCCCAGCCTAGCGTGGCCGCAGTCTGGAGGCGCCACCTGGCCGGCTCCCGACTCCCCTCGGCTTCCCTGAGCTCTGGGCTCGGCGAGGCTGCCGGGTGAGCTGGGAACCCGCAAATTGCTGGAGAAAAGAGAGGAAGAAAGGCCCCCAGTGGAGGAGGCACCTGGAACTGGGCAACAGGGGTGGGCGCCTTTCCTTTGGTGCTCGTCTGACCCGTTTCGTCAGCCCCGCTATCCAGGGAACCCACCTTCCCAGGGCCTGGGGGAGAGAGAGCCGTTTGAGGCTATGCAAAGTGACGCAGGTGTTTGCGGAGATTTTCCTCCTTGAAAGAAATGCTCGACTCCACCCTTCCCAGCACACCAGCACCGCTCCTCTGCTTCGCGGTGTAAAGCTGCAGTTCAGAGGTGTCACAACACCGGGTGGAAGACTCTTGGTCCCGAAGCCGGGAACCGAACGTACATCCCCCAAGAGCTGGGCACATCTTTGCCTCGCCAGAGGCCGCCTTCGCGCGGGAAATCTGCAGAGCGGGCACGGGCGAATGCCAGGGATCGCTGGGGGTGAGATGCTGCCCGACCTCACACTTACGCACCAGTATTGGCCAGAGGCTCCGGGCACTCTTGGGCGAGCGGCGATGCCCCAGCGTGACTCCTTCGGCAAAGACAGCCTCCCCCTACCGGGTGGGATGACCCGGGCAGCCCCTGAGGGAACAGGCCGGAGAGAAGTCCTCCTGGGGCGCCGGGGGGGGGGGGATGTGCGGGGGCCTGGGGGTGGGGCTGGAGGCTGGAGAAGCGACAGGGGCCAGGTCTTGCAGGGCCTGCAGCCGGCCTCCCCAGAACAGCTGCTGGCTGGCCCCACCCCTCTTCCTGGGCCCTCTCCTGCCCCACGATGCTCCTCTCCCCCCGGCCTCAGCGCCCCTTGCCTTTGTGCTCTCACAGTCCAGAGGCCCGTCATCCACCCACTGTCCAGCCCGAGCAACAGGTTCTGTGTCACCAGCCTGGACCCGGACACACTGCCTGCTGTTGCCACACTCCTCATGGATGTCATGTTCTACTCCAACGGGTAGGGCCTCCTCGGGTGCAAGGGGCTGCAGGGTGGCCAAGGGGAGACACGGCTCTGTCTAGTAGCCCCAGTCTGAGGGGGGAGGCACAGACCTGCCCTGGGAGCTCGTTTGAGAAGCAAGACATGGCTGTACCCCAGATCCCCATTCTAAGAGGGGAAAATGGCGTTCCTTGGTGAAGCCCTAGGCCCACATGTGGATATAATAAACACCCCACTGTCACCTGAGCTCCTAGGGCAAGCCCAGTCATTTGAAGAGCTGGGAACTCAGGTTTTTTCATTTGGTGGACGACAGCTTTGCATTTTTCCTCAGGGCAGATTGTAAGTTTTGGCCAACACCAAGTGGAGCGGGGCCAGGGGCCAGTGAGCCGACAGTGACCATAGACTGTGCCCTGACATGTGGGCCGTCACAGGGACCGAGAAGCACCCCCCAGGAAGGGGCAAGTGTAGCCTGTGCCGAGGGCGGGATGGGTCTCCAGAAATGTGAAGTGCGGTGCTCATCTCTGTGGATACGCCGTGGAATCGTCCACACCTCACAGATGCAGAGACCGATGCAGGCAGTGCCTCAGGGTCCGCCAGCAAGGCAGGATCAGAGCCAGGACTTGGCCCGTGCTCTCCCCAGCACCCCTAGGCTGATGGGCGGGGCGGGGGGCCTGATGGAGCTTGGGCTGCGGCGGGGGCCCCACTCCAGCCCTCACCAGCTGCCCCGGCCCCCAGAGTGAAGGACCCCGTGGCGGCCGGCGATGACTGTGGCCACATCCGCTTCTTTTCCTTCTCCCTCATCGAGGGCTACATCTCGCTGGTGATGGACGTGCAGACCCAGCAGAGGTGAGCCGGGCCCCGGCCTGGAGCCTTGTGACGGGCTTATCACCCACTTGGTCCTCATACGTCCCTACCCCGACCCTTCATTGCGGGTGAGTGGCCCCGGCTCACAGATGACAGGCCACTCAGAGGCAAAGGCCCCAGGTCATCCAGCGCCATCCAGTGCTGTTTGTCCCTCACTCCCCCACCCCCGTCTGGAGCTTGGGGGGGGGGGGGCGGGGACGGGGTGTAGGAACCTGGGGAGAGACGGGAAAAGGCGAGAAAGAAAACGAAAGGCGCGACCCCCCTCCTTCTCCCTCCCGGAGGGCAGCAAGTGGGCCTCGGTGGTGTGGGAAGCCGCAATTAAAATGGCGACCTGCGAATTGTCTCAAATTTGCGCACACCTCTGGCCCTCGCGCGCTGCATCTCCGTCCCAGTCCCCCAATCGGCCGCGTCGCCCCCCGAACAGGTACTTGGCAGAGGGCGCGAGGCGACCCACGAGGTGGAACGGCACCCCCATCCTCCTTGAGACTAGCCCAGAGAGAACAGGAAATCTTCCTCTCCAGCCGGCTCTCCTTAAACTTTGAAAACTCTGCCTCCCTCCGGGCTGAGCTCCCCCCCTCCAAATATTGACACATTGGAAGCTGCCAAGTCCTTTTTGTTTCTTGTTTGTGCAGAGGGGTTTCCAAGAGTCCTTTTCTGAGCTCCCACCTTCACTCAGTGACGTCAGTGGCATTCACTCCCGCTCCTCACCTCTTACGATTTTTTTGTTGTTAAAACTTTTCTCCGAGGTGAGGTGGGCTTGGGGGTGGGGGGGGGTGGGGTGGGAGAAGGAGCTGATTCAAAGAGCCAGGGCCCTGGGGGGAAATAGCAACAAGATTACGGCTGCTTCTCTCCGAGGCAAAGCTTAAGAAGGTGCTAATCCACTCGGTCGCTAATTGAGAGGTTGTAAAAATGATATTCGCCTCCAGTTCGGACAGTCTCTGGGATTCCTCCCTCCCCGCCACCCCCCCGCCGCTTATGCTCAGTAGACTTGAGTTCGAGCTTCTTTAATGATTGTTGAGAAGTAAAAGGGGAGAGAAAAAGGATGCAGGCTCTCGCTGGTCTGGGATGGGCCCGCTGCCTCACTGAAAGTCGCGGTCCTACGAAGTCTCGCTCAGGAGGCGCCACCTCCTTGGCCTCTTCAGTCTGGGTTTTCTCCCGGCGCTGAGTACTCCTGGACCGCGGAAAGGGCCTTCCCCAGGCCGAGATGGTAATCGGGTCGTGCTACCGCAAACCTGACCCGGACAGGGGAGGCCTCCGCTCACCCCGGAGCTCTGCCCGGCTCCTTGGCGGCAGCGTTAGTGGGTCTGGGTTGGGGAGGAGAGCATGAGACCCACACTAGGCCCTGCGGCGGCCCAACACAGCCTGCAGTGTCCTCACGGGCCCAGGTCCCAGGGGCAGCCGCCGCGCCGCGGGTCATCTGTGAGTTCAGGTTGCACAGGCTTTACTGATGAGCTCTGACTTTTAGCACTTTTCACAAGTCAAGAGGAGTCAGGTATACCCGGCAGTGGCTTCCTCTCAGCCTCCCTGCTTCAGCTCTTCCAATCCCATTCTCCTTTGCCAGGTCCTGGGGTGTGTGCCCCATCCCAAACCTTCCCCCTTCCTTGCCTCACGGCCTGCAAGCTCCGAGAGAGCTCGGCATTTTGCAGGACTAGGCAGCCGCTCCCTCCCCGTCACCTTAACTGCGGGCACCGAGGGGAGCCTTTGGAGTGTACTGAGGTGTGTCCTAATCATCCGGCATTCAACAAATGGACTTCTGGTGTGTGGTCAGAAGAGAAAAGCCATTTACTTACTTTCCTCCCCGGTTTTCTGGCAACAGCTGAAGGGGAGTTGCCTCCGTGGACTGAGCAGACCCAGGAGAGGGAATCTTGGTGCGGAGAGACACACACCACACAAGATAACGGGTGGCACACACGGATACATGCTGACACACCAACATCAATGGCGAACGCTCTCCGTCTCTCTCTCTCTCTCTCTCCTCTCTCTCTCTCCCAGCATTGGTAGTCTCCCTCGACTCCAGGCCTCCACCCCCGCCTCCCTTCTTATCTCCCCCTCGCGTCCCCTCCTCTCTGGCGGGCGCCTGGAAAAGCAGCCGCACTTAGTCAACAAATGGCACGTGGGAGAAGTTGGTGAGTGTTTGGTGAGGACTCTTCAGGCTTTTCACAAGAACCCTCTGTACACAAAGTAAGTGGCGTGTTTGCTCGGGCCTCTCCAGCCCCGGCTGTGCCTCCGCTCCACTGCGCACCGCGCCTTCCGAAAGAAGAAAGAACAGAAGAAAGGGCCGGGGGAGAGAGGGTGGGGGAATGGGCAGGCCCGGGAGGCCTGGACTGGGAAGGCCGCCCGGCCTCGCCAAGTTCCCAAACGGGCGGCCTCCTCTCGGCCTAAGCTTCGCCTCGGCCTCCGCGGGAGTGTGTCTGCCAGGACCCAGTGACGCTCATGCCCCTTTTCTCTTCTTCTTCTCGGCGGCCAGGTGGGCTAGGGCGCGGCCACTGCGGTGTTCCGCGTCCCGGCGCCCAGGCGGAGATGGGGTAGGGGTAGGGATAGGGGCGGGAGGGGAGGGCGGGCGGAGGCGGGGCAGCAGGCCAAGCTGCGCTGGAGTTGGCAAAAAAGGGACGCGCAGAACTACAGAAACTTGCTCCATCCATGAGCTGAGAGTCCCGCGCCCAGCTTAATGGTGTGGGGGGCGCACCCCCCAGCTCAGCGACCTTCACTCGACCCCTCAAGTTCGCGGCCACAGTGCGGCCCGCGCTGATTCCCGGAGCGCTCCGAGCCTAGAGATGTCTGGAGCGCCAGCCCCAGAGCCCAGGCGCGGGGGCCCAGCGCCGGGGAGAGCAGCCCGGACACACCGGCGGGGCCGAAAACAAGTGTATTCATATTCAAACAAACGGACCAATTGCACCAGGCGGGGAGCGGGAGCATCCAATCGGCTGGCGCGAGGCCCCGGCGCTGCTTTGCATAAAGCAATATTTTGTGTGGGAGCGATCCGTGCATTTGCATGTTGCGGAGTGATTAGTGGGTTTGAAAAGCGAACCGTGGCTCGGCCTCATTTCCCGCTCTGGTTCAGGCGCAGGAGGAAGTGTTTTGCTGGAGGATGATGACAGAGGTCAGGCTTCGCTAATGGGCCAGTGAGGAGCGGTGGATGCGAGGCCGGGCGCCGGCACACACACATTAACACACTTGAGCCATCACCAATCAGCATAGGTGTGCTGCCTGCAGCCACTTCCCTCACCCACAGTCTTTATCTCTCACTCTCCAGCCGCTGACAGCCCATTTTATTGTCAATCTCTGTCTCCTTCCCAGGGATCTGAGAATTGCTCTCACATACCAAACCAGCAGCGTCCTTGGAGTAAACTCTCGCCAGCAACTCCTTTAAAATACCGTCATTTCAAACCGTTGTGGTCTTTAAGCAACAAGAGAAAACAAACAAACAAACAAAACCCAACCAAACAAAACTCTTGACAGGAGCTTTGACGAGAGAGGATGCCTCAGAAAGGTGAGTCCGCTTCTTTCTACTCGCTTCATTTTTATTGCAATATTCAGGCAGGTCTCCCCCTTCCTCCCCCCTTCCTTCCTCCCTCTCAGCGGTCCCCTCCCCCACTGCTACGCCGGGAGAGTTGGACTGGAGAAGTTTCCACGCAGGAGCCCAAACTTTCTACTTCCAGCGAAAGCCCGCGTCGGAGGGCGACGGCCGGCGAGCGGGAGCGGCGCAGGGCTCGCGGCGGCCGGCCGGCTCAACCCCAGCGCCAGCGCCAGCGCCAGCGCGGGTTGAGCTCGCAGGAAGAACCGAGGCTCCGGGCGACGCAGCCGCCGCGGCTCCCGGCCACAACGTCGCCAAATGCTCCCGGCCGGCGGCAGAGGACGAAGAGGCTTTGCGGTGCCGCAGGCCCGGGAACGGCTGCAGAGACTGGCCGCCGCCGGCCGCTTTGTCCAGCCGCGGGCCCAGCGATCGCGCCGAGGGCCGCGCGCCGAGGGAGCGCCGAAGGAGCCGGCTCGCCGCGCCGCCGCCCGCCCTCCGGCTTTGTGCGGCGCTCTCCCGGGCACCGAGGAATCCGCGGGCGCTCGAGCGCCCAGGGCCACCGCGCGCGCCGCCAGCCCGAGCAGTCAGTCGGCACGGCAACCCCACGCCGGATGCGGAGAGAAAGAGCGAGAGAGCGGGAGCCGGGAAGGAAGCTGCCAGGCCGAGGCGGTCGAACGCGCGCTCCGAGGGAGCTCCGAGCCGAGCGGGAGGATTGTCAGCTTCCATCAGGACCCCACGCTCTGGCCCCCAACTTGAGCGCAGAACTTGGAACTTGAAAACTCTCTGCTCCCCAGGCTTCCCCCAACCTTCGCCCTCGCCCTGCGAAAGCTGGGGTCCTCCCTGTCTTCCGGCCCCCAGCGCTCGGTGGGTATTTTTCCTTGTCTTCCTCTGACAAAGCTGCACCGGGTGTTGCCATTTCAACAAGTTTCGAGGTGGAAAGGTGGATTTTTTTTTTTTAATTCAAAGCTCCTGAATTTTTTCCTTTGTGAGGCCTTTAAGAAAAATCAATATGAAAGCATTGGCTTTCCCCTTCGTCTGATCACGTCCTCTCCCAGCTAATTAGTCTGAGTAATTTGAGAGCTTTTCGATTCTAAGACCCCAGGAGGAAAAGTGTCTTTTCAAAGTTCATAAAGTTGTTGCCTCTTTCCTTGTGCAGATTTTCTCAGTCTCCCCGCACCATAATAGCCCTGAATTTTAGCAAGTGTAACTGGGGGGAAATGGAGTTGAATTTCAAGTGGAAATGCTTTCTTTTTTGAGTGCTAAAACCCGGCCCTCCAGTCATGAGTGATTTCTAGAAAGTTTAAAAACAAAGTGAACGGTGGTTTCTTTTTTCATATATGATCCGAAGCTCCCTAAGCCATATTGGACGTTTAACTCGAACTTGGGAAGGTTTGAAGAGGGGAGTGGGAGCAGAAAATGAGATGAAAAGCAAAGAGCTTGAAAGCCTGGCGAGTTTACGGAGGAGAAATAATAGTTGTTGCCGTTGACATTACATTTTTTATAGCCGGTGACCTTTGCAAATGTCTGAAGGCAATTTGATTAGTCGTTATTTGGCCCTAGAGAGTAAAACTTTGTCATCTTAATTGGTAATTACTCTTTGGCTGGGAGTCGGTGGGGGGGGGGTGGGCGAAAGTGAGCTCTCCTCTCCCCTTCACCCTAGCTAAGAAGTTTGGAGATGAATTTTGAGCATTAAGTAATTAAAACAACAACAGCATTAAAAGCTGAGGTTGGGTCAGGGGTAGGGAGGCAGTGGCTCAGTGGCCTAGTGGACCAAGGCAGGGCGACTCTGAGGTGTTTGGAGACTCCTTCCTTTCCGAGTGGGTCTCTGACCCAGCTGGGGCCATAGGAAGCCCTGGACTGAGCTGGGGGGGCTTTGGCTGCGGTTGAGGTGGAGGGAGTCTAGTCTCTCCGCAGGCGACTGCTTCCGGGTGTCGGACGCCCTGCTTCCCCGGTTGCTTTTGCACTAAGTGTTAACGATTACTTAAGTAATGAGATAGCTTCTTAGTTGAGAGGGTTGTGGGAAAGGAGCAGAACCGGGATTTGAAATGCTTCCACCTTCCCAGCTGCTTGGAAAATTAATCGGCTAGGCCTCTCTGGAATCAGCTAGTGATTTTTAAAAAATGGCTCCAAGAATGTACCGGCTGGGCTGGGGGCATTCGGTTGTGGTTGAGTACACTGTGGGTTACAGTATGGCTTTAGGAAGTTTTACCCTTCTGGGGGAATTCCAGTCCACCTCTCCCCACCAGCTACTATGTGCAGTTTCAGAATCCCACTTTGGGGAGGGGGTGGGGCATTCTGTGCAAAGTTGGGTTTTCTGCCTGTCCTTGGCTTGACTTGGTCTTGGGGACTGAGAAACAGGAGGAAGGCTTTGGGAGCCAACCCAGCTAGGGCTAACTAGGTAGCCCTCTGCCTTCTCCAATATTTACCAAGCTGCTTTGGGAAGCTGGGGGAAAGTCTAAGTTTTAAGTTTATTTTTATGGATTTAAGCTGCCTCCCAGGTAGTTAATAAATTAGACCATGAATGGCCTTTAAGAGAAAAAAATGTGTTTCTTGGGATTCTTTGCTTGCAGGCAGGCAAAATTAATAACCATAATAGGCAAAACAAGAATAAAACTTTTAGTTTTGTCTTTAAACAGGGAAAATGATGCTGTGACTATTTAATGATTTTACTTTTTTTTTTTTTGCAAACCTTTTGAATGGGTTCTTTATTGTAACTCTCTCTTCCCAATTGAGCTCCCCACGGTTCCGTTGTATCTTTTTACAGCCCCTAACAACTCACACCAGTAACACAATTACCTCCAGATATTTATAACAAGAAATTACTTTTCTATTCCACCCCACCCCCAGAACCTTCTTAAGGGAAGGCAGGGAGGGAGGTGATGGAGGAGGTCGTAACCTTGGGGGACAGCACTGGGTCAGGAATTACAAAGCAAGAAGTGTCCCTCTGCTCCCTTTGTGAGTTGGTGGGTTGTTGGTACCTTTGGTTGGAAGCTGTGTTGCTGGTTAGGGAGACTCGGTTTTGCTCTTTGGGTTTGGGGAGAGCTGGAGAATAGAAGCCATTGTTCACTCTCTGTAGGCTTTGTCGACCACGCTCACCCCCTCCTGTTCATACTTTTTAAAGCAGTGAGGCGAGGTAGACAGCGTGTGTCACAGTACAGTAAAAGGGGGGAAGATCTAAACACCAAAAGATAAGTTAATCACAATAAGTGAGGTTTGGGGGGAAAAAGTTAGGCTTGCCACTTTCAAAGTTCCAGAAAGGCTGAGAAGTGAGTAGAGAGGGGGTCTGACTGGGAAGCTTTGAGGGGGAGAGTGAAGGATAAAGGGGTAACCAAAGAGTTGGGTTCTGGGGGCCTTGGGGCAACTGGGGTGGTGAAATTCTTGAAGGAAGGAGTAATGGCTCCGAAGCCCTCCCAGTAGGCCCCAGCCTGCACCCTCAGGCACCCTGAAGTTCCAAGGTCCCCTTTGCCTCACATCTAAACTTCAGGTATAAGTGCTCTCCTCGCCCCCCCCCCCCCCCCCCCCCCCCCCCCCCCCCCCCCCCTTGCCTCTGGCCTCTACTCCTAACCCTGCTGTTTCTCTTGTTCTCCCCTCTTCCTTTCCCTGGTTTTTGATATTTTTGCAAAATGGGGCCCCAACTTGTCAGATCCTTTCTCCAAATCTCCCAAGCCAGGCCAGGGCAGCCACTAGCAAAACGTGGGGACTTCTGCAGGATAGGCTGCTGGAAATGTGGGTGTAAGTCTGGGATTTAGGGTTTTATGGCAGTTTGAGACCTAGATGCATTTTTTTTTCTTTCTTTCTGAGAGTGTGGATCAGAGAGCCCATGGGCCTATGCTTTTGAGCCACAGTTTGACATACCTTTCTCTCCTTCTGGTTTGTCTTAGGGCGAAGACTTTAACTAGGGGTGTGCAGATGTGTGAGACCTTTTATTGTGAGAGTGGACAGACATCCCAGATTTCAGGCAAGTTCTACGTTGGCTGCTTTGGGTTCCAAAACCTGAAAGAGTCAGAATGCTCGCTCATTGTTCTTCAGATGGAAGAAAAAATTCAAAATCAGGTCATCGATTCTCCTGATTAAAGGGTTAACTTCTAAGAGATTTGGGGGGAACAGATTGGGAATATTGGAGTATTTGTAGCCCAAAGGGTAGATTTTTGCATGCACTGGAGGGCAGAGCTGGATGACTCTTCCATCGCTGCAACCGACTGAGTGGATCATTTCCTTAAAGAGGGGGCTTTCTCCTGTCCTGGCTCCAGGACATCCTCTGTAGGGAGGTAGGCCTACCTGGTGCTGGCCCATGATTAATGCCTATATTCTTGCTAACAGAGCCCCATATTCGAGCCCCGTGGGATACCGCGGCCCCCAGCCTGCGCCAGCATGCAGAACAGTAAGTGCCTCTGGTCTTCTTGGACTTGGGGCTGGGGAGGTGCAGCCCCTCGCGCGGGTCGGGGGAGGGCATGGAGCCTCACGGAGTCCGCGCTTGGCCAGACCGCGGGCGCGAGGCCGAGGGATCCGAGGCAGCTGCGCCCCTCTCCTAGCCCGGCAACCCGAGAGGGGAGGCCGTTTGCTCTGTTCTCCCTCCTGGAAGAACAGGGGCTGGGCCCCTCAGAAGAGCCCGCAAGAGTTTGCGAAGCTGCGGTAGAGAAACCCCATCCCCCCAAATCCTGTAACTCACACCCCCTCCCCGCCCCTGCCCGGGCTCTGACCCCAGAGAGGGGGGCTGGGCTGAGCAGGGCGGGGCGGAGGCTTCCAGTCGCAGCGCGAGAAGGAGGCCCCTTGGGTTTAGCGAAGACTGAATGTCTCCGCCATCCGGGCGGGGTGGGGGCTCCCCTCCCCCAGTCACTCTAAGGGCAGCCCCTCCCCTCCCCACCCTGGCTAGGGCCCTGGAAGGCCAGCGGAGCGGGGCACCCAGGCCTGCGGTGGGGTGGAGGTGGTACACTGGCCCCATGGGACTGTTACAGGGCGCCGGCGAGAGCAGGTTTACTAGGTCTGGGACAGAGAGTGAGGTTGGAGCCCAGGAGGTGGAGAAGCCCTGCCCCGATAGCTGCTGTGTGTGTCCTGGTCATTCCGGCCCGCTGTGCCTTTGATTCCCAGGCTCTTGCACTTCCCATCCTCCCTCTGCCTAGGCCCTTTGGGCCCCCAGCCCACTTTCCTGCTCGGTCCGTGAGTGCTGGTGTGTGGCAGGACGAATCTGGAGACTGGGCCTGGGAGCGTGAAGGCCCAGCGAAACTAGGCCAGGGTTGAGGTGCGGAGTCTGGACGCGGTTTAAGGGCTCAGCTGTATGGAGTGCCCGAAGGCCTAAGCCTTCTAGAAACCTTCCCTTGCCGAACTGCAGACTGAGGAGGGTCCCCAGCGCCTGATCCATCTGTCCTGGAACCGCTAGTCGTCCCCTGGTGCTTCCGCGGCTGGTGGGCGTAAAGCGCAGGAGAGGGCGCAAAGGTGGCGAGCTTTAAGGCGGATTAGTTGTGCAGAAACCTGCCAGGCCCTGGGACTTGGCCTGGTAGGAACCCTCCTTGGCGAGGCTTAGGCTTCTGTCCACGCTTCCTGGCTGCTGGGTTCTCCCCCTACAGCACAGGGTCCCCAGCCGCAGGCTCTCGGGAGGGCCGGCCCCCGGCGCCCGGCGCTGTGGGTTTGCCGCTGCGGCCTGGCTGGCGGGCCCCGAGGGGCGCGCGGGGGCGCGGGCCGGCCTGCAGGGCTTTGTGCCGCTCGCTCCCGGGTGTGCGCGAGGCGCAGAGCATCCAAATTGACACCATATGTTTTCCTATTAGATGCTTCGCGGTCGAATTCTAGGCGCATAATCATCGCCACTGGGCGAGAGCGCCAGCCGTCCCTAGGGAAGGGACACAATGATTGAGGCTTAACCTCTGAAGGGGAACTTATAGCTGCGCTTCCTCGCTGCCATTTCGATGCTGGCAGAGGCGACCTGGCCCTGGGCGAGCACCCGCCGGCGGTCGCTGTGGAGGTGGCGGGCAGGTTGATTTTTGCAATTCGGGGAGAAAGAGGGAGGTCTAGGGTTAGGCGGCCTCACACGTCTTGGCATTCCTAGATTGGGAACTGCTCAGGCAGCGCGTGAAGTTTAGAAAGTCTTTCTCGATCTTTCTCTGGGACAGCCTTTCTTTTTCTGGGAAGGCTCCCTTTGCCCAAAGGGGAGGCTCCGTATCTGGAGGAGTAGAAGCTCTTTCGAGGCAAAGGAAGGCAATAAAGGGAGTTTAGGAGAAAACGGTAAGCGCGATCTAGGGCTTGCTCTGTTGGAGAAGCGGTGTCCCCGCGATGGCCGTGCTCACGCTGGGCCCGGCCGGAGCCTAGATACCCCCAAAAGCCTGTCACTTCTCATCGAGTTGAGGCTCCAGCACCCCCCTCAGTGAGGGCCCCCCCCCCCAAGCCTTCGGCTACCCTGAAAACGCGGCTCCCCTCGAAGGGGAAACGAGTGCAGTTCAATCTCATCTGAGTGATCTACAAATAGGGATGGAAAGGGTCGTTTTATCACGGTCCCGTTTGTCGTGACGATGCAATTTCCCGGAGCGGAGCACTGTCACAAAGTGACAAGGCTGCCACAAGCGCCCCGACTGATCTTTTCAATTAGCCTTCCATGCATGATCCGGAGCGACTTCCGCCTATTTCCAGAAATTAAGCTCAAACTTGACGTGCAGCTAGTTTTATTTTAAAGACAAATGTCAGAGAGGCTCATCATATTTTCCCCCCTCTTCTATATTTGGAGCTTATTTATTGCTAAGAAGCTCAGCTTTCTGGAGTCAATTTATCAGAGGCTCCAAGGAGAAGAGAGGAGAGCTGAGCGGGGAGCCACATCTCCTGGAAGGGCTGCTCTCTAGAGTCGGGGCCGCAGGTTGGAGATTTTTAAGGAAGTGGGAATTGGCAACTGGCTTTACTTGTGTGCCTGTGGTTTCTGGGGAGGGGCTACAGAGGTGCTAACTCCCTATTCCCTATGATTAGACAATGGGGTGAGGTTGTGAGATAACCAGATAAAGGAGGGATGGGGGACACTGTGGTGTGGTCTTTTCCTTTTCTTTTCACTTTTTGATTTTCGCTAATATCTGTCCCTGGCTGTGGGGAGGGCCGAGTTTAGCAGCGGAAGTAAAGCGGAGCTGTGGCCGGTGGGAACAGACTCCCAGATCTCCGCCCCACTGCAGCAGCCAGACTACTTTGTGGTTGGAGCCGATCTGGGGCTCTGAGGCTTGAGGAAGCCTTCAGTGGAGGTGCTGAAACCCAGGTTGTGATTCACTAGCCACGGGTTTGCTCTTCTGGTTCTTCTCTACTCCCTCCCCTTTTCTCCTATTTTTTTTTTTTTTTTTTTAAATCCCAGTGCTTGTGTGTTGCCTTCACCAGAGTTTGGAGTGTGACAACAAACGTTTCTGGACTCCAGTGTCTGAGGGAGCACTGGAGAGCTATAGGATTTGCTATCACAGTTCTAACAATGCAGAGACCTTGGAGATTCAGTGTGGGTTCTGTAGGACTCGTGGCTTTTCTTGACACTCAGAGGGGATCTTTGGGAGGATATTTTTTGAGCTGATGATTTGCACCTTGCGGGTTCAGAGACTGGCTGGGGTGTTTATGGAGGGTAGCGGTGGGCCGGGGGCTCTGCTGGAGCGAAGGCGGTAGTGAGGTGTGTGTGCTCTTGCTGGGCGGTGTGTGTCTGCATGGTGCTTCTGCAGTCTGGTGGGCAGGAGCTCGGCTGTGTTTGGGCTGGGCTGCCCGATGCCAGGAACGGCTGCGAGGTCCTGTTGTCATTTCTGATCGATAGCAGGGACCTGGTCGCTGAGGTTGGCCAGGGTTGGCAGGGAGCTGAGGATGCATTGTGGTTGTCTTCCTTCCTTTTCTTCTCTTTCTCCCTCTCCCTCCTCCTCCTCCTCCTCTTTCTCTTTACTCTTCTTGCTCCCCTCTCCCCTCCGCTCCGCTCTGCTCTCCTGTCCCTTTCCTCAGGTCACAGCGGAGTGAATCAGCTCGGTGGTGTCTTTGTCAACGGGCGGCCACTGCCGGACTCCACCCGGCAGAAGATCGTAGAGCTCGCTCACAGCGGGGCCCGGCCGTGCGACATTTCCCGAATTCTGCAGGTGATCCTCCCGGCGCCGCCCCACTCGCCGCGCCCCCCGCGGCCCTCCACTCTCAACGCCCTCTCTCCATTTCTTACTGTAAAGGCTGCTAATTATGGACCCACCTACCCTCACCCCCACTCCAGTCCCCACCCCACTCCCCTGCCTTCCCTGCTTTCCCCTTTCCTTCCACCATCCTTCCCTATCTCTTCCAACCTGGGTCAGTCACATAAGACAATTCATCTGCTTAAGAAAAAAATTGGGTGTGAAATTAAAAAAAACCAAACAAAACCTTTCTTTTTTCATTTGGCAAAAACATTCATTGTGGTAACAGTTTATGAACTATAATAAAATGAGTTATATAAATCCACATAATCTCATTCCCCTCTCCCTCATCCCATGCTTATTTACCTCAGGGTTTGAGATACTTGTTTGATTTCTTCATATTTATGAAAAAAATATATATTGATTTTAAAAGACGAATGCTATTTACCTCCCTCCCTAACTCACATTTACTCAATTGGGCATATTTTTAAAGGAAAAATTACTAAAAATTCAGTTTATATTTCCCCTTCGCTCATTACAACAGGACACCATTTTAAGCAAGGTCAGCACAAAACAATCTGACTTCGTTTTGATGCATCTTCAAGCAGCATTTATTTACAAAAACAGTTTTTAAAACTTTTAAATTAGTTTTTTTTTTAGTTCAAACGGTTTGAAAGTCTCCTCCTATTTGTAGTTTTTAGGGCTACAAATGTAATTTTAAGAAAAAAGCTCTCTGCAGTAAGTTCTCATACCATTGAAGGTATATTTTTGTGTTATAGACCCATGCAGATGCAAAAGTCCAAGTGCTGGACAATCAAAACGTAAGCTTGTCATTGTTTAATGCATACTTAAACAATTTTATTTTTGTCTTGAAATTATTAATAATGTGGTTTTCTGTCCACTTCCCCTATGCAGGTGTCCAACGGATGTGTGAGTAAAATTCTGGGCAGGTATTACGAGACTGGCTCCATCAGACCCAGGGCAATCGGTGGTAGTAAACCGAGAGTAGCGACTCCAGAAGTTGTAAGCAAAATAGCCCAGTATAAGCGGGAGTGCCCGTCCATCTTTGCTTGGGAAATCCGAGACAGATTACTGTCCGAGGGGGTCTGTACCAACGATAACATACCAAGTGTAAGTTCACTGAGAACATTCCCTCTCCCTGCCCTAAGCTCACACTCTTCCCTCTTTACCGTCACTTTCTTGACCTCTCCCTGCTCCTCTCCCTGCCAGTGTCTTTCTCTCTTTCTCTCCTCCGTGCTCCACATTTGTCTCCTCTGTACCTGGGGGTCTTGAGAGGAGCACCCTGACCTTTTTTTTTGGCCTTCTGGAAAATGGAAGTCAAATGTGGGGGGTTATGCACCTCACTTGCATGTGGCAAAGTAGAGAGCGGAGGCACCTGGAGAAAGGCACTGGAATCTAGAAGGAAAATGCAAATGAAAACCAGATTCGAGCTTCCGCCAAATCTACCTGTTTGAACCTTCTTTCAGGCATCAAACATCCATTTCTGCCCTAATATAAAACAAATAAAAGTGAAAGAAAGCTCTAGGCCAAGTCTCAATATTTTGGGGTGGAAGTCTTTAACAACAAAAAAGCAGCCATGAGAGTTAGGTCACCAGAGACACTGCGCAACAGTGAAGGACCCCTCCCTAGTCTTCCAACTCTCTACACAACTGAGTTTCCATGCCCAGAGTGATGGCTGGGCATTCTTTCCTCGATGTCTCTGCAAATCCACCCACTGTCCTAGGATGGCTGGGAATTTTTTTTTTTTTTAATGTATTAAGGGTCATTCTTTAAGCGGTGGGAGTGCTGAGATGGGGACTTAGGGTAACTGTGTCTTCAGGAGACTCTACCATTTGGTTTGATCTTGATTTGATTTGCAGGTGTCATCAATAAACAGAGTTCTCCGCAACCTGGCTAGCGAAAAGCAACAGATGGGTGCAGACGGCATGTATGATAAACTAAGGATGTTGAACGGGCAGACCGGAAGCTGGGGCACCCGCCCGGGTTGGTATCCGGGGACATCGGTGCCAGGGCAACCTACTCAAGGTAAAAACCCAAACACCCATCCTCAGATTCTCCATATATGCAGCCCCTTGCCCATCCTCTTCTCCAACTTTTTCCCTCTCCGGGCTTTTGTGCTTAGAGAATGTAGTGGAGAAACTCTTCAAAGGCTTGGGACATATCGACTTGCGCTGTATCTAGGTGGTGTTTGTTGAGCTATCTGGTTGGCCTGGGAATTCGAGGGTTGTGTATGTTAGGTAGTATTAATGTGGCTGGTGTGTGTGTGTGTGTGCGCGTGTGCGCTCGAGTGTGTGTTATGGGCAGGAGTATGTGCGTGTGTGTATGAGCTAGCTGCGTGGTGCCCTATTCAAATGTGCCATTAAAATGCACGGAGAGCCCCCTTGCTGTAGAAGTGTGACAAGTTAACACACTGACAGACTGCAAGATAAACATAATTGTATCGTTTTGCTTCTTGCTGTAATTGACAAATTATGCGACTAGGAGTAGGGTGTGTATGAGAGGGTGAGCAGTGAGATGCAGGGCCAAGTTGAGGATGGGGCATTCGAAGTGGTGGCTTTCCCAGCTAAACAACCCTACCCTCTCTGCTCTGACCCCTTCCACCCCTTGGGCTCCCAGTTCTCACTCTTTGTGGGTGGCGACTGCGTAGAAGGGTGGGGTGAGGATACTGTGAACCGGACTTTGGTGTGCCGGGAGCGACTCTGGGGCTGGGAGGAAAGATAGGGTCTGGACCGTCCTTGGATCTGAGAGAAGGGATGAGAGAAGAGAAGCAGATGGGGGAGGGGTCTGGTCTGTTGGCCCTCCCCCTCCCCTGCACACACCGGAGGTAGCCTGGTCAGGAATAGGAAACAGTTTACTCCGAAGATTAATCGGTATTTGTTGTCCTCGTGACAAGGAGATAATATGCGGGATAATGGGACGTGGCGTCTCACTCCCCGGAGCACGACGAAGCCTGGGGGCTCCCGGCCTGGGAGGCGGCGAGGGGAAGCTGACTGGGCTGCCCTTGCATCCGTGTGCTCTCGGACCCGCTCTAGGTGCCCCGCGCCTCCACCAAGCCGGGCTAGAGAAGGGAAAATCGGTAACAGTATGCGAAATATCTGGTACAAAGGATGCTTCTGTCACTCGCAAGAATTTGTTATGGGAACAATCCTGTCGCTCTGTAATTGCTCATTAGAGAACGTTTTGTTTCTCATTAAGGCGACATGAATAAGCGTCTAGTTGAAGGAGACAGCTGTAGAAATGTTCCACAAGAGACCTCTGGACACGATTCGGCACCAATTGCCAATTAGACATGTCAGTTTTAAGAGCAGAAAACAATATAGGACGGACACTGGGAAGATAGGGAGCAAAGCGCTGGCTCGGTGTTTCCCAGCGCGGCCGCTCGGCCGGCCGAGGCCTCCCGACGCGCAGGGGCCCGGCTCCCCCGGGCGACTCGCCCGCCCGCTCCCTTGCCGGATCGGGTCGAACCGCGGCCTCCCGGGGTGCGAGGTTGCACCCGACGAGGCGCTGCCTCCGCCCTGACCGCAGGCCCCGGCCCCCTCCGGCTTCTGGTGAGGACGAGGGAGTGACCACCACACCCTCACCTGACCCTTGAAACCGTAGGCTTCCCACGTGCGCACACCGGGCACACCCAAGTGACGCGCTCCCGTTGCCTGCCCCGGCCCCCCGCAATCTGCGGTCCCGGTGACCCCACCCCGCCGAGTCTGGCCGGCGGGGGCGAGAGGTCTCGGGGAGGGCATGGGACACAGTGGCCGGGCCTGGGAGGGCTGAGCCCTGGGCGCGAGGGCTCACGTTTGCTCGGGGCCTGGAACAAGGACACCCCCTCCTCCTCCCCGGAGCCCGGACCGGACCGAAGCCGAGAGCAGCAGCTTCGCCCGCCCCTCTGCTGCCACCAGAGGCGGCGCCCGATTGGGGCGGCTTTTCTTCGCGGGGAGCGTGAGGGCGGGAAGCGAGAGCCTAACCGCAAGGACCTGGTGGTGACCGTTGGGGCGGGAGGTGGCGCTAGTTCAGGAGCTTTGAACTTTCAGGCGCCGAGTTGCCAGAGCCTTCTGGCTCACCAACTGCCAGTTCCCCCTTCACTCCACAGAAAACCCACGCCAGTGCCTGGTCCCCACCGCGTGGCGAGGACGATCGCGCCAGGCGAGCGCAGAGTCCCGGACATGGGGACCACTGGGCGCCGGCGGCCGCGGCTGACGTGCCGGGAATCCTCGGTTCTCTTGGCGCTGAGAAGGCTCCCCTCCCTCCCTCGCCCCCTTTGCCGGCCCAGGAAGCCGGTTTGCGGTTTTAAAGAGCCCATTACTCCGAAAGCATAAGGCGAGGTTAGGTCTCAGAGGGAGACAAATCTGGTTTCCATCTGATCAACGCCATGCGGTGGTGAATAAAATTGTGCCGACTTAGGCTAACAACAACAAGAGACAACTCTATCCAGCCCCGATTCTCCAACGCTTTGGTGGTTTTAGGGATCACAGAGACACTTTTTCTTATCTCCTCCCGCCCCCCGCCCCAGCTCCGTAATACCCAGGCCCTCTATAGGATTTAGTCAGTCTCTTTTTCAACAGATGCTACAATGTTTTGATCCGCGCTCCAGAGCTGAAAAGGTGCCGCAACCGGGTTGCTATCTTTTCTTGCTTGTTTTCCGCATCACTGATTAAGACACTAAGAAACTAAGGAATGATTTTATTTCCCAGCGTCTTTTTTTTTTTTTTTTTTCTTTCTCTCCTCTCCTTCTTCCAGGAAACAAATCCTATCCCGAGCGTCAGATGGTCCTGGGGCTGGGATAATGGGAGGCGCTTTCACTCGCCTTCTCGAGGATTAGGCTGGAAGGTGGACGGCGCCCATTGAAGGCCCCTTCTTTGCGCTCAGAGGGGGCCCCTTTTAAAGAAGATATCTTAATTGTCTGCCACTTAGGTTTATCATGTGGGGAATTCGAGATCCAACTTCCAGTTCTATTTTGCTAAAAGCTTTAAGAGTGGAAGGTAAATCCACTAAAGAAAAAAAGGGGGGCACCCAGTCTAAGAGTGACCTCTCTGGCACTGCCTGGCTGCGAACAGTTGCTATTTTTAAAGGAGCAAACAAACTTTCAATGGAGCACGCTCGCTCTTCAGGGTCTTGGAGGGATCCTGCAGCCACGGGTTTCTCCTGAACCGCCTCTAATTCCACGGCTGTTTTTATTTTCCCCCTCAAAGAGGTTTAAAATCGAGCTCTCCTCATCCTCGTTGACTTTCTTCCTCTTAAATGTCAGTTCAAGTCAGCGCTGTGCCTCTGTTGCTGAGAGAGAGAGAGAGAGGGAGAGAGAGGGAGAGAGAGTGTGTGTGCGGGGCGGTGGGGGGGGGGGAAGAAAGGGAGAGGGAGAGCGTGCGCAAATATCCATGTTTTAAAATTAGAAAAATGTCAGCGAAGCAAACGGGAGCAGAGAATGCTATCTGCGGGGATCTTCTGAGGCAGGCCCGGGTAGCTTTGTTTGGCGAGATCGAATGTGCCAGAAAACGGGCTGGGGTGGGGCCTACTAGAAGGCGTGAGTGACCACCCCCGCGAGATGGGATTGTGTTCCCAGCGCTCCCTTCCCTAAACCTCTGATGATCGCAGGTTTTTGTTTGTGCTTTCGCAAAGCAATAACTGATAGGCCTTTCTAGTTGGCCCCAAAAGTCTATTTCTAAAGTCTTCCTCATTGACCGAATCTGAAAATAAAAGGGGCTCTTCATTTCATTCCCTGAAAAACACTTTGAAAAGTCACCCGGAAACTCGGGGCAGTAAATTAGCACAGACACTGGTGCCGGCACACGTGAGTGAGCGGCTCTCCCTCAGATAAGTAGCCCTCCCCGACCCCCCAGCTTTCTGATGTAGCGCAAGATGACCCAAAGCGGAGCCACGGCCCGTTTACTAATAGTCTCTCTCTCCCTTATCTCCCTTTTTCTCTTTCTCTCTCTATCTCCTTCGACCCTCTTGTCTCTTTTTCCTCTCGGCACTCTTTC